AATGATGCATACATTTGAAGTACACACTCACTTGAAACATTTTGGTGTAGAACTAAAATTAAAATCACTATGCCTTAAAAGCTTTTCTAAAAATTTTCATATAGGCTTCTGGAGTTTACCACTCACAAGAAAACTTAGCAAGCTATATCCTTTAAAAGGTAACTTGGCAATAGAATTGATAAAGTTAATTGACAACAAGAGAATGGGAAAATATTCAGGTAATAATGACCACTAATTTGGGGGGGGGGGCATTGGGAGGGTGGCTGAGAGTGAGAGAAAGCTTTTTATAAATGTATTTTGTTTTAACTTTAATATTTAATATTTAATATAAACAGGAGAATATTCTGCAAAACAACATATTGCTTCTAGAGTATAAGATGTCTTGGACAGAGTTATCACTATGATCAAGACTCATGATGACTGAAAGAGCCCAGATTTTGTGAGCACAGAGGATTAAACCTAAGTGATAGTGACAGAAATACAAAAGGAGACATGGGCTTCAGAGATACTTAGAAGGAATAAATAAGAATCGGATGGAGGGACGGGGGCAAGTCAAAGTGCAGTTTTAAGGCTAGGGAACTTGGAAAATAACAATATAATGAAGAGAAATTGAATGGTGAGTTCTCCAGAGTTACCCAGTTTGAGAAGAAAAACGAGGATCTTAGAAGAAATAGGATAAATAATTAACAGGATTTGGCTGGTAACCCAAATAAAATACTCAACAGTCAATCACAATTGTAAGACCACAGCTGGTGATGACAGTGGGCTCTTGAAGACAGCAACTATGTGTTACTCTCCTTTGTGGCACAGACCGGGCATACAGTAGATGCTTACTAAATGTCTGAATGGCTGGATTGCTGCATAGAGTTGTACGAGCCAACCTCACAAAGGAACAATTAAGTTGTTAATGTCGACAAATATAACCTTCAGGGGTAGACTAGAAAGAAAAGAACTAAGAGGGCAAAATTTTAAGGAATAAAAATATTGAAGGAGATGGAGGAAGAAAGAAGCTGATAATAAAAACAAAGTAGGCTGGTTGGAGAATTAAATGAAAGACAGAGAAGAGAGGTCTGAGAGAGGACAAGAGGGAGAGACGAGTATGAGGAGGTGGAAAAAGGGGGAGAGAAATAGCAAAATTGAGAGAAGGAAAGAAAAACACAAGAACAGAATCAAAGAAGGCAGGAAAGAAGGGATGCTTCTTATTCCTAATTTGAATATTTACATCCATAGAGAATACATGAATGCAAAAATTACAAAGTCATATTTAGTGAACAAAAATGGAAATCATTAAAACATTAAAATGTTTCCTTAATAACTTAAAGTAAATAAATTAATAGCTCCTGTCACATTGATTCATCTATTGCATGTGGATACTCAATAAATGTTAATTGAATTAAATTAATAACATTTGCTCAATGGTAATAAAAAATTAATTAACTGTCTATCTTCGTGTTATTCAAGTTTATGCCCGTTGGTTCTTGCAATTACTTTTAGCCCAAATATGAATTTTCTATTTCACTGACTTTCAAGATACACTTTAATTTTTTTCTAAGAAATATAGATGAGCTTCTAATTTTTGTCTTAATTTTGGTTTGTTTTTTTCTGTTAAAAAATTATTTTCTCTAAGTTAATGTCAAGAACTATGTATAACATCTCAAATATAGTTTCACGAGTTCCTTACTTAATTCCAAAATAGTTTCTCTGCAGAAGATGTGATACCACTTTTTATGTGTGTCTCCTTTTAGCTTATGCTACTTTATAATACTTTGGATACAATGTCAAATAATGCTGTAAAAGAAGGAATCTGGGGAAATCACTGTTAGCATTCCGTCTATAAAAGATGGAAGATGTCAGTAACATTCACCCAAAAATTGTGACTCATTTCAGATGTCAGAATTCTTGTTGAACAGACTGGGTTCTGAAATGTGTGTATGTCAGATGATTTTTTAATGAGCAACAGATAGTTTCTACTGGGGAATGAAAAAATAAAAATATAAACAGAGATACAGAATTAAAATAACTTTATGAATGGCAGTTTAACTTCTCCATAAAATTCTCTCACCGCAAGCTTAGTGTGCTCCAAATGGTTGCTTAATGTAGCATACCACTTATATTCAAATGCTATACTTAAAATTGTCACAAAATTAAAAAGAGAATCATATACCACTTGGCTGTATACCGTATTTTCTGCATGTTCTTACATTCCAGTAACCTCTATCCAACTTTTTTGTTACTGAATTACTTTGTGCAAAAGCAATTTAAATTACATGAAGCCTGACTACGTGTGCTAATTTGAACTGATTGTTAATTAATTCTGTTAAGTAAATAGCTGCTATAATCTCTATACTCATCAAGGTTTCGTTATCTATCAGCTCTTCTTAACCACTCTCTAATGTACAATGCAAAGCAGCTGTAACTGAACAGGCAGGATTCCCTGAGTGCGCAAGAAGGTAGTTTTGCTTTGCAAAGACTACTCAGGAAAAGGCAAGTCTATAAAACTAAATTATTTGCGAGGCCCAATTTGAGGTAGGTGACACATCAGAGGATTTAGGGTGAAGAGGATTTTGCTGATGTACACTCTCAGCAGTTAAGAAAGAGAGATACATGCTAAGAATAAAGCAGAGAAAATGTTGTACCATATGAAAGGACAAGAATAAGAGCAAAGCTTTTAAAATCCATCAGGCCAACATTTGAATCCTAGTTTTACCACTGACTAATGAGAGGGCCCTGAGAAGCTTGCATAGATAAATTCTCGGGGGTGGGTATTTAGCACAGCAGTCAAGTAGCCACTTGGGATCCCATATCAGAGTGCCTGGGTTTGAGTTCTGGTTCAGTTGTCCATCTAGCATCCTACTAATGCACACCCTGGGAGACAGTAGGTGATGGTCCACATAGTTGGGCTCCTGTCATCCCTGTAGGTGACCTGGAGTGAGTTTCGGGCTCCTGAATTTGGCCTGGTCCAGCCTTGGCTATTGCAGGCATTAGAGTTGTCACCAGTGGATGGCAGATCTATGTCTGCCTTTCAAATAAATATATTTTAAAATAAATGAAGTCTTTAAGCCTTGAATAACCTCATTTATTTGCTAACTGAAGATACCAATTCTAACATTTCCCATTTGTTCAAGAAAGCTAGCAATATCTACTTCCAAGAGTCTCTGTGATACTTACATTCAGTGAGGCATTTCAATGATAACATGGAAACTGGCATAAAATACATGCACTATGTCTGTGAGGAGGTGAGCAGTGGGTGTATGATTCTGCCCCACAGGAAAATCTGGCAATATCTGCAGAATTTTTTGGTGGTCATCACTAAGGGAGACACACGCTATTAGCATCTAGTGTGTAGAGGGTGGAAATAATGCTAAACATTCTCCAGTAGCCCCATGACAAAATAAATAAATAAATAAACTACTTGCCCTAAAATAGTCATACTGTTCTGTTAGCTCTGGTTCCAGTTAGGAGCCCTGGGAGAGCGAGCAGCTCACGACTGGTTTCTGAAAATCAATGAATGCACAAATCAATTGGCAGTTCTGCCTCTTTTTCTCCCTCTCAAAAGTAGAAGAGGCCTAGGTTTCTCAAAACTGCATATCAGAACCACCTGAGAAGCTTCAAAAATCTCCCCCAGGGATTGTGATTTACTAAAAAGTCTGCCGGGGAGGAGAGTGCCTAGACTTTTAAAAATTCCATTTTTTATAAGATTTCTATGTTTTCTGCAGAAATGTCTGAAAAACAGTGCCCTTAGATGTAGGACCAGGTAGATATTCCCTCTGAACAAATAAAGCAACTTTGGAAAGCATTATAAAAATGGACATGGAAAGAATATATTTCTTGCTTAGAGCTTCCTAAGAATGGTGAAATTAACCAGGTTGCCAACTGTATTATTCATTTCAGTCACTCAATGAGCATTTTTGAATGAGCCAGGCATTGGGTTAGCTATGTGAATGCAACTGAACAGAATGCGTCTTTACCACCTCCCGAAAGTACTGACCAGATCTGTTGCTTGTTTAGCTCTTAAGATGTCCCTGGGAATCAACCTGGTTGCATGTTTTAGAATGTCTTTTTCTATTAAATCTTTTTTCGATCCTAGGAGTCTGCTTAATGGGCACCGGTAAGTCACAAATAAACTGCACTGCCACCCAGTCTGGTCCTCTATCTAGTGTAATTTCATGGTATACTTCTCTTTCATATCTTCCTCTGAACTACAATGGAAGCAGTTACTCCTTGACTAATTTGTGTGATACTACACCTGTCTTTGTTACTGTTGTACCCCAATGTCCAGCCCAATGCCTGTTAAAAAATAGACCACCCAATATTTCTTTGCTAGAAATTCGCTAGTAACAGTTTTGTGTGGTTACCTGGAAGTAAAACATGTTCCCAAGAAGAACATCCCCCAAACCATATATTCTAGCATCTGATTAGGGACCTAACAAAAACCCAGGCAGAGGAAGGATTGGCAACTGGGGTCATTGAGGGCAGAGTAGGAATGAGATTTCAAACTATTCATCCGTCTCCACTATTCTTATACAGAGGAAGAATACTGGGTTTTGTAGAACGAAAGAAATAAAGCAACTTGATTGAAATCATGTAAATTAGTCTGCAGCAGTACCCAGTATTTAAGACTTCTGCCTCTTAGTTCCATAATATTCTATGATAGCAGGTTGACAGCATACTCTTGAGAATTGGTGGCTCCATGTGAACCAATTCCTTGATTCTCTCTGCTCATCATTATGAAAAAAAAAACTAGTATAAATGAGTGTGATAGGTGAAATTAAAATTAATGTGATAGGTGAAACTTATAATGTGTACAAAATTTTATAACGTTTACTCTCTATTCTTACTTGTACTCAAAATTATCCTGCTTATTAATGCTCCATTCTTTTTATTAAGACTTTATTCTTATAAAAGTCTAGAATGTCATTCTGCAAATGTTCATCCTTAGATCAGTAGGCCATGTACACTATAGTGGGTTTTTCCTATGTGTGTTTTCTTTTTTCATCTAGATATGCAACTCACAAATGAAAGGCATGCAGACGAGAAACCCATTAATGCTATCGTTATAAATTCAGTATCCGAATTCAATATCACAGATGGACCAGCCAAGGAAACCCCCAATGAGAAAAAACTGTCAGAATCCAGCACATCACTGTCCTCCCTTGAAGAATGCCAAACGAAATTTTCCTACCTCCAAACTGATACTTCAGTTCATCACAGAGACACTGATGGTATGTTTCTCAGAATTCAACCCACCTCTAAATAAAGCTCTCAGCCCCCAGCCTCTGTAAATTCATCACATATGCTGTTAGGAGGAAAAAAAACCTCTTTATGAATATTAAGCAAGAAGACTTCAATTTGAAAACTCTGGTGAATGACACATGTCAAGGTCACTTTGCAGTTGTGAGGTGCTTGGCAGATTGTTTGCTCTCAAAGCTGGGAAGCAGAGGCAATGTGTTTTAAATAGCTACGATGGGGCATAATCATTTTCATTATGGAGCCATAAAATGGGTAAAGAAAAATGGCAATCTTATTTCCCTTCTTGACTATGGGACCACTCAGCCTGTGACTATAGGCAGAGAAGAGAAGGCACAGTGAATGGTATTAAAATTCCAGGAATATATAAATATAGGCACTATACAGGTTAAAATGCTTATAGTGGCAACTCTATGAAAAAGAGTTGGTCCTTGTACATAACATCACTCCCTATGCATTCTGATCAATGCAAACCTAGACCAAACCATTCTTGTACATGGCATAAAAGGCATATTCTGTCTGCAAAGCTATTTTCAAATTGATTTGGTACTAAATGATCAGCAGAGTCCAGTTCTACATCTGGATGCCACACTAAGACATATGGAATTTTACTCAGGTTAACTTTCAGTGACCTTTCCGGGAGTCATAAACCAATTAAGAATTGTGTAGTGTTCAACATCTACATTTGCATTTAAAGAAATGCCTAGAGTTTCTCAAAGGAAAATATAATAGGATATTCTCTCTGGTTTAAATTTAAATTCATATTAACTTCTTGAAAAATTTTAAATAAACTTTGTGCTATAACACCTTTGAAATCATAATGATGTAACTCCCATCTTGAAGTTTATTAACTGTATAAAACCAGGCAAGTTCTACTTGTTTGTTTGTTGGTCATCTCTGAATCTGAGTTATTCAGTTACATAGTAGAGTTAGTAAGACATTGTGGGGATTTGGAGAATCAAATGAAATAATATATCTAAAGCACCTAGTATAAAACTAGTCCATAATAAATACTGACTTTCAACTTTTAAAATGATTATAGTTTTAGAAAGTAATAAGAGGGAAGATTTCTAGTGCATGATATATATGTGGTATCTTGTGTATATGTTGTTATGAATGTTTCAGATCAGAAACTACAGACATGTTTGCTTGCAATTGCCAGGAGAGAGGTGAATAGTGAAGTAAGCTGAAGAAGTACATAATAGGGGTTGGTGAGGCCTGTGGCAAGGTAAACAGCATGTATTTCATCTAAAGATCTCTGCCTCTATTCAGCTCCAGCTGCCAGCTGCCAGAAGAAATGACCCAGGGCTGCCAGATCTTCAAGTTTATCACCAAAACCAGACTCAGGAGTACTATATGAAATTCCTATGCTGTGATGATAACTAGTTCTTTTTTAAAATTCTATTTACTTGAAAAGCAGGGTGACACACAAATAGGGGAAGAGAGAGAGAGAGAGAGAGAGAGAATATATCTTGATCTGCCATGGATGATTCATTTTCCAAATGCCTACAACAGCAGCCAGGGCTGGGAAAAGCCAAAGGCGGGAGCCCAGAACTCAATCTGGATGTCTCCCATACGGGTGGTAGCGACCCAAACAGTTGATGCATCACCTGCTGCCTTCTAGGGTACACATTAGCAGGAAGCTAGATTGGAAGCAGAATAGTCAGAATCGAAACCGGCACTCTGATGTGGTATGCAGACATCCCAACCTGCCACTTCACACTGTGCCACAATGCCTGCCTACGTTATGAAGCCTGAGACAGTCCCAACAACACATCCTGAGCCACTCTGACCTGGAGACTACCAGGTTATGAACTTGAATCCAGGATGACGCTCAGTGACAGCTTTGGTAGAGGATAATGCTAATAAGGAAAAAGGCGATGCAGGAGGATTCTCTGTAAAAGCCTTTTGATGCTAAAATGTGTTATTAGGTTGTACTAGGGATACACAGATGCTGCTCATCATGAATATCAGGCTAATGATTTCAGGGTTAGGAACTGCCATTATACATATCCACAGAATAAAATGCGGTGTCCTCTAGAATTACTCCAGTCTATCATATCAGGGATCCTGGAAGAAGAAGTGCCAAACCAATTAGCATGAAACCTGAACCACTGCACTCTCAGGCAAGGGCCAAAATAACTACCCCATTAAAATGGCAGCTGACACTCAAAAACGTTATGCAGGGGCTGGCATTGTGGCATAGCCAATCAAACTGCTGCCTGGGATGCCAGCATCCAATATTAGAATTCAATTTGGGTCCTGGCTGCTCTGCTTCTTATCCAGCTCCCTGCAAACACACCTTTGATGGCCCAAGTGCCTGGACATCTGCCACCCATGTTGGAGACCTGGATGGAGTTCCAGGCTCCTGGCTTTGGCCTCGTCAGACTTGGCTGTTGTGGCCATTTAAGGAGTGAGTGAGCCATTGGATGGAAGATCTCTCTCTTTTGCTTGTTTCTCTCTCTCTCTTTTTTTCTCTCTTGCTCTCATTTTCAAATAAATAAATTTTTTAAAAATAATATTATGCAGAAAAATAACAAATTGTGGGCCAGCACTACATCCCACTTGGCTAATCCTCCACCTGTGGCGTCAGTACCCCAGGTTCTAGTTCCGGTCGGGGCACCGGGTTCTGTCCCAGTTGCTCCTCTTCCAGTCCAGCTCTCTGCTGTGGCCTGGGAGTGCAGTGGAGGATGGCCTGAGTGCTTGGGCCCTGCACCCGCATGGGAGACCAGGAGGAAGCACCTGGCTCCTGGCTTCGGATCAATGCAGCATGCCGGCCATAGTGGCCATTTGGGGGGGTGAACCAACAGAAGGAATACCTTTCTCTCTGTCTCTCTCTCTCTCCCTCACTGTCTTAACTCTGCCTGTCAAAGACAAAAACAAAACAAAAACAAATTGTGCTGAATACAAAAGACCAAAGGAGATTCATGAGGTTAATTTAGTTAGACTATTTTCTGAAGGACTGGGTTAAGACCAGTCTGACCCAAGAAATTCAAATTTTAAGCTGATGGCATAGGTAACAGTTCTGTGAAAAACTGCCCCAGCGAGGTAAGAGCATTTGATACCAGCGATAAAAGAAAAAGTAAAAACCCAGACTAAGACTCACAAATAGTGATAAGAAATTCTCATTATCCTAAACAGCAAACATCAAGGAAATCAAGAGTTAAGTCAGACTCACTCCATTTTTGAGAATTTTTTGATAGTAATTAATTTAAGAATGCAGAAATTGAGATCTGGGGTCATTGTTCGTACTGAGATAAATACAGAAATATCTTTCAGGAACAGCAGGGAAAACAGAAGGGAAAAGAGAAGATTGCATCCACTTTCATGTAGTTTGTGGTTAATTTATTTTCAAATGTATAAATGAGTGCATAGGAATGGATGCTTAATTGCTAATATCTATTATTTATATACATTGCCCCACTTAAAACAGAATGAAAAAGCCTCACACATGCAGATTTTGTAAAATGTGTTACATCCATTAGCACAGTTCATGGTGTGTGCTCTGATGGGAATTTAAAAGGATCTTTACTGCACATCACACACTATGTGCTGCAACATTACTTTATTATTAAATTGTGGTTCATCGTGTGTGGTCCCTTTCCTGAATAAAATGGAAAAAGTCCAGAGAGCTATCTGTGTCCATGCTCCTGTTTCTACATTCTTTTGATTGCAAAAGTATCCCTGTGCATAAGAAAATCAGGGATACACATGATATTAGAAAACAGGTCCCTTAAAAATAATCTTGAGAATATATCTAATTGACGTATAATTTTGAATTTAAGACTTCTCATCCAGGTGGAAGAGGAAAATCATAAATACAAGATACCTCAAAAGAATAGTCTTAATTACACCATGGACTACTGAATAAAATGATTACATTTTCTACACTGTAAATTTCATACAATTAAATGCGGTGGTGTCACCTTATAAAATGTTTCAATTTTATAATTATTTCAGTTCATTTGCTCAGAAAAAAACATAAGCACAAATTTACTAAGTATCACCCAAATCTAGTCATTCTAGTTCTAAAGAACTGACTTGAATGTTAGTTGTGCTTGTCTGAACTTAAATAGATCTTGACATATTTAAGTAGCTATTAAAATTGATAACATCAGGGATGATACCCCAGCTAAAGAAAGGCATTCAGTCACACTTTATTTATTCCCACTCTACATTACAAATTTTTTAAAAATCTTAATTTGGGGAGAGTGGGAACCAATTTCTATACTTTTGGGCCAAAAACTTTGAGTAATCAGTGGAAGCCATTGTATCATGAATTTCATTATGATGCCCCATTCTCTGTGACAGCACATAAACGTGTTCCTGGTTCAATTTGCCTCTCTCTCTCTCTTTTTTTTTTTTAATCTTACTTTGTTTTAGGGGAGAATGAACAGGTATTTTTTTTAATCCCTGGTCACTTCTAGAAGAACCATATTCTTGCTATTTTGGATAGTGATCCCTAAAGTAGCAAGGTGTATCTATCTGGAGTTGAGAAATGTTTCAGGAACTACAGTTGACTATCAAAGCTGACTTTTGTCCCTCCCTCCTGCTTATTGTGGGCATCAGGGTAGCAATGCTGAAAACTGAGTGGGGAAATTCAGGGAGCACAGAACAATGACTATGAGGTTGACATCAGGTATGTTTGTGGAACCTCCTTGCATTGTTACCGTTTCCATTATAATTACACACAATCCTTTCTAATGAGTCAGATTCTCCCTCTTAATTAGCCATCCCTGGTTGTGCACTCCACCTCTGGAAGCTGCATTAGTTCTTCAGTGCCATTAAGGTATCGCTCACATATTACAGTTTCAGTGTCACCTACCCCAGAGGTGTAGAAAGGAAATGGCTTCTTGCTCAGCCAAATACCACTTTTGGCTGTGTGTCCTGCAGGTCTCCAACCTATTTTAAACCTTCTTGATTCCAGGTTTAAGAAGCGGGAAAGCCAGTTGGGCTCTCTGACAGCAGTGATTAGAGCCTGTGCCAGGATGCCAGGTGGTTCAAGAGAGGAGATTTGCTATCCAAAGTATTAGAAGAGCTGAATAAACAAATCCATTGAAGAGTGAGGCAACCTACAAATTAGCAACAATAGGAAGGCTCCAGCATCTCATCACTTTATCCCTCCAGACCACCAGAGGACTGCTAGTACTGACATGAGCTTGTAGACCACTAGTTACTAACCATTATTAGATAGATAACTAGTAATTGGAATTAGCAAGGGCCACAGACAGAAGGCGTTTTCAGAGAATGGTAAAACCCAGAAAATATGACTGCCTTAGATATCAACCAAATCAGAGAGAGCAAAGGAGAAACACCCTGAGTTGTCTCTTCCTTCCATCCTCCTATTTCCTGTTGCTGCCTCCTATTGGCCAAATCCTATCAGAAGCCACTAAGGGAACATGGAGAATGTACTTTGTCAGCCTTGATAAAACACAGCAGAGAAGGAGAGGAGTAGGGACTGGATAAGAAAGCAAGCCATTCACATGCAGGCAGTGTCCTGCACCATGCTCCAAACTACAGAAAGCTGGAGAGTGTTATGGAGGGCTGGCCACAGTGCAGAGCTTTGAGAACACAGTCTAGGCCAAAACTGTAGCCACACAACTTCAGGGGGTGGGGAGAGAGAAGATGGTGGGAGCTGCTTGCCTTTTAAACTCTCCTGAGCCAGTTTCCTCATCTATTAAGGGGGTACAAGTAATACAGACTCCATTTTATTTCCAGTTTTATTTCGTGAAATGCACAGAAATATGGAAGACTGCTGAATGGCTTTAAGTGAAACAGGACCCACATAACAGTGAGATAGACAGCATGCATTTTGGATCAGAAAAAATTACACGTGAATCCAGCTCTACTACCATGCAGTTGGGAGGACCTAGAACAATGATAACCTCTGAATATTAGTCCTTTCATCTAAAAAATTGGTTCCAAAATACTTAGCTTACCTCCTGAAGTTATTCACAGATTTATTCATTTAAATAGAGAAATGGCTGTCCTGTTCCTATAACTTATTTTTAAAAATAAGATTTATTTATTTTATTGAAAGGCAGTGTTGCAGAGAGATACGTTCCATCCACTGGTTCACTCCCCAAATGGCACAATGGCTGAAACTGAGCCAGTCTGAAGCCAGGAGCTTCTTCTCTGTCTCCAACATTTCACTGCCTTCCCAAGCACATTAGCAGGGAGCTGGATTGGAAGTGGAGCAGCTGGGACTCCAACTGGCACCCATATGGGATGCCAGCGCTGCAGGCAGAGGCTTTACCTGCTACACCACAGCGCAGGCCCCATCCTATAATCTATAGTCTAGTAAGAGGAGAAACTAATTAACCACATAGTTCAGTGCAATACTGTGGTCAGTGCTGTGAAGGAAAAATAACACAGAGCTCTGTGAGGACTTCAGCAAGGATATGATTTAGAGGGAAGCTGTCTTCAACTAAAGGTCTGAATAAGAGTTGGGTAAAGAAAGCTAGGAGGTAAGGGTGTGCAACACAAGCAGGAGGCACAGCAAGTACAAATATCGTGAGCCAGATGTACCATACATACTGAGATGTAGCCAGTGTAGCTGGAATACAGTGAGTAAGGAATAAAAGAGGTACAGAAGTCAAAGAAAAAGGCAGAAAACTATTCATACAGGGGCTTGCTGGCTATGGCAAAGATCTGGGCCATCACAAGCCAGTTGTTCTACTTTAGGACTTAAAATATCACAGGAACTGATGAATTTGAAGTAGGCTCCTGAGGAAGCACAGCGTCCTAGCCAGGAAGCTACTGCAGTTGACCTGTTTGGGACTGATGGTGGCCAGATCCAAGATGGTAGCCCTGAATGTGGTTAGAGGCTTATGGGCTGCAACACAATGAGGAAGACTCAGCAGAACTCGGTGATGAATTGGAAGGAGAGGGTATGGTTGATGAAGAAAAGGGTTTCCCAGTTTCTGCCAAATTTATGTGGGTGTTCAGGAGAGAAAACTGAAAGAGGGACATAAGAGAAAACGGAAAGAGGGACAGTCGTATAGGCTGGAGAAAGAGAAAGATCTAAAATGCAATATGGCCTTGGTAAGCGAGACATTTTAAAGACATTGCAGACGAGACATGACGTAGACAAGTGGATAAGGGCATCCTCTTTTGGATGTGTTGGAAGAAAGGGTGCTCATCATGGGATGTGGGTTTGAATATCACATTTATTAAACATTAAAGTCCCAGGAAGTATTGCAGACGAAGGAAAATAAACTCATTCAGGAGAAAGGAAGTCCAACACTCTTTTCAAACAGTTGCAAGTTTTCCCCTGAACTGCTTATGTTACTCTTATGCAAACAAAAATTGGCCATATGCAAAACAGTTTTGCCTGCTCATGTAGAATTATTTAACATGCCTTTTAGGAAAAGTGTGGAACATACTTGAAAGTTCGGAAAAATCTGTTTTCAATTCATTAAGGTTACCGTGTTTTTCTTGGGCAAGAAGCTCTGTCTTTTATAACCAAATAAAAAGGGCTGACTTAGTAACAGAAAAAAATGGGCTCTATTCTCAAGTGCAAAATTGGGAGGTAGAAGGAAACCAATGCCAATTTGGCCAAAGGATTAGGCCAAGACTCTTTTTGGTAAATAAAACGTATAGTATACATCAAAAGTGGCGGCCTCCAGTGCCAAACTGTGGTGGCACCAGCAGGAGCAATTCAATCAAATAGTTATTTGCCCTCAGGCAATTATAAGGCCATTTTACAAACAGGTTGCTCATGCCATGATAGAAAAACTAGTGTCAATCCTTACAGCCCCCTTGCAGCCTTCCCTTCTTACCGCCAAACCAAGGTTCAGCCTTGCATGTGTAAAGGACAAGACCCCATGGGATCATTCTCATCTGGTCATAAGCCTGAGTAAGTCTCTTGAGCACCAGCACAAGGGGTCCTGAAGTTTTTGCTTAGAATATTTTCCACGTGAACCTGTTGGCAGGGTAAGCCATGGTAGCAGTCTTGGTATTGGTAAAGCTCAATGTGATTCTATCCCCTGCATCTTTGATCACCAACACACTCTCTTTGGAAAAGCAGAGGTGAAATAAAATCTATGTACTATTACTAACTTACTCCTGAATTTTTGTGGGTGGCTTGTGGTGACTTAGAAGATATGAGTGAGTTTGCCATATGCTAGAAGCTGGCTGTAAGTGAATAAAAATATACCAAGTCTGGCAAAGAGATGAATTTGTACACCATAGAGGTATTATGGAGTATGCTGCCTGCACTATAAATTCTGAGTAATGGCCACAGCACCTGCAACAATATCTGGCAATTAAAGTAGTCATAAAAGAAATGATATGGTTCTTTACCACCATCTTAATGGGAAGAAATATGGGAGGGAGGAACAGGGGAGGAAGATTTCTATTGACCTTACTCAGGGCTCATTACAGAGCTTTACATAGTGTTTTCATAAGAGATTGAAGCAGGTTTCTTTAAAATATTGGTTCTTTCTCCATGTTTGCCCTTCTTTTAAATACTAACAAATATATGGACAACAAAAGAAAAGAAATTTCCTGGAAAATACCATAAGAAGTACATGAATGGGGCTCAAAGAGCAGCTGGACTATCGCATATGACAGACGGCAAAATCTCCTCCGTGTGTTTATACAGTCTCCACTAACTGAACTCTGAAAACCAAAACGTTCGCCACATTCTTACTGGAAGAAATCAGGTCCTTATGAAAGTCAAACTTTAATCGGTTGATAGTCCCATCTGGAGAGAAAATTTTTTAACAATTCACACTGGAATGTTACTTTCAATCTTCTACAATCTTCAGATTGCTGACTTTAATCCATTAGATGACATATCATACAAATACTTAACCCTTTCACAAAACAATCACACATTTCTTGGACTTTTTTTTAACTTGAAAAGAAAAGTTATAATTTTAACAAGAGAACTGCTACATCTTCTAACTAATTCCCTTTATGGAAACAAAAAAATACAATAATCTATAACTCATCACAGCTGTTTGGCTAGAATTACCAATTACCTTCAATGCCTTAGAGATACTTTCCAGATTTTTACAAGTCTGCATAGTAAATTTTTAAACCAATTTTCTTAAAGAGGACTGATAAGATTTAAAACCTTTTAGGCATATGATGACGTATTTCACTTAAACAACTTGAATATAAAATCAAGGCTTTGCATAACTGGAGGAAAACGGAGACAGAGATTAAAAATAAAACACAACCCAAAAAGCTGTGATTATTTTAAAAAGCATTTATATTAAGTTTTGAAATGTGCTTTTCGCTTGCATTTGAATATGGGTGTGGTGGATTTATGGGAATCCATGTCGAACAAATAACAAAGCCTGGTGACGAGAAACAGGACATTTGTACAGTTTCTCCTTGTCCCTAACTAATTGCTCCTGAAGCCCCCTGCATTTGGGGAGGCCCTGCTGCTTTTCAGACAGTTGCAAGATTTCCAGATAAGCTGATAATTATGTGGCTTCCCAGCACCTCTGCAGGCAGAGTAAATAAAGGAGTTTAGAAAAGTGACAGCACTTTAAATAACCAGATTATGTAGAATCAATAGGAAATGCTCAGGAAGTTAATAAAGCAATTACTTAAGTAGAGTGAGTACTGGCATGGGGGTGGGAGAGCTTGAGAGACTAGTGGTGTACATTACCCCTAATGTGGCTAATCAATTAAGAGTTGGCTGCAAAGTTATCAGGTGTACCTCCACACATGCCTCTCCTTCATAGATGCCCCTCTATGTGCCACTATTAATTTTCTTTCTTCTTATTTAAACAGAGGAGTGTGCCTCCCTGATCCTCACCTGTCTGTTTTGCCAGTTTTGGGACTGTCTCCTGATGCTCCCTGATACGTGCGAAACGGTGTGTACCAACTTGTGCTGCCCCTCTCACAGGTACCACCCCACTTCGGATGAAAACCACTCTCGGAATGATTGTAACTGCAACTGTGACATGGACTGCAGCCTTTTTGAATCTTGCCACGAGACCAGCGACTGTCTGGAGCTGGCCATGGAGATTTCAGAAATCTGCTACCGCTAGTGCAGCAAGGTACCCACATTCCCACAGTCCTTTGGGCCACAGTGGGGAACTCCATTACAGCAAGACTGTGATTTCCATGTGCTGAAATGCAAGGACCATACACATTTCTTGGATGCTTTAGGCCATTTTTTTCTGCACCTGTCTGGGAAAGCTAGTATTGTCAACTCAGTGGTCGTATTCCAAATTTCACAACCGCATGGCTCACTGAAAAATAAGATTCTTGATCACATGTGATGAACAAATCTTAAATACCTCTTAAATATCATAGGTACAAGATGTTGCTAGACTATAAAATAGCATGCTAAACAGCTCGATGTTACTCCACTCATCAGCTTGCACCATGGATTCAACCTCATTCACAAATTCAGGACAAATTAGTGCATTCTTTCAGAACTGACATATATTAGCTCATCTTTCTAATGGACTCATGCATAAACATTATGCATTGTTGGTTATTATTAATAATGTATTGTATAACATCATTTTGTAATTAAAAATTTATTTATACAGTCTCTTAAAATTCACTTATATGTACAGTTTAGGTAGGAAAGGGAATTAAATGAATTAGAAACCATGTTCCTGTAATTACAACAGATGTCTCTGAAACATCTCCAGTGAATTTTGAATGTAGTATATACTTCAAGAGAGTACTGATTCTAGACCACATTACTATATACCTATTACTATATATCATAATAGGTTATGCATATTCTCAATTTGTTACAGAAAGGCTCTTCTTTATTCTAATAAGCATAAAGGAGAATTATCTGCAAGTTTCAAGAAAATGATCTCTGATAATCAATTCTTCACTTCCCTCTTTTCTGTAGGTCAAATACAATAAGCAACAGGATATTAAAAATAGATTCAGTTCACTGTACCAAACTATCATTTGTATAGGCACCCAAAAGAAAAACACATGCCAGTACTTATTCAGCACTGAGTTTCCTAATACAGCCTGCGCTTCAGAAACTTTATTGTTTTTTTATGGATAACTGAAGTAATTCATAATTATGATGAGCACTTCTTTATACAAATTATTTTTTGTAGTTTTGATATAGACTGGAAAGTGATTTTCAACTCAAACAATACAAACACTTTGTGGGCAAGTCACATTTAGTTTGAAGTTACGTTGAACCTTCTTTACTTGTGGCAGGCATGTTTCTACAGTTGTTAGGCAAATACACTGCTCATTAATTTGTGCATATATATTCCCATGGAGATAGCTTAATGTATTTACTGAATAGTTAAATAGCTTAATGTATCAATAACCAAGCAAAGAACAGAAAACTGAAATGGAAAGTTGACAGAAATGTTATGATTTGGAAAACTACCAGAAAAAAAGTCCAAAATATCTATTTTTTCCTGACAGGTAATTTTAGGCAAAAGCAATATTGTTTTAAATCTGTGGTAAACTAGCACGTGTTTCTAATCTGCAATAAATTCCCAAACACTGAAAACTGTTAATCTTCAAAACAATATTTTTGAGCTTCCCCTAAAAGGTATTTAACTGTTCTTGACTTGTTCTTGATAGCACAGTGCATTCATGGTTAATGCCAGCTCCACTGTTGCTTCACTGCTATGCTACTCACAAACCACAGAGCATGAGACTGCCCCCTGCCTACTATAAAACACTTCATTCTCTCTGCTTCTCAGAAGCTCAGAGATAGCTCTACTCTCTAGGCATAGAACTTGTAGATCATTAAAAAATAAACAAACAGTGGATTCTTAGAACAGGAAGAGAATCTAGGGTTCTTCTTAGCCAACATTCTCATATTTCTTAAGAGAAAAAGGCAGCCCTAAGAAATGACTCAGCCAAGACCACAGAGTGAGTTAATGGCAGTGTCAGGAACTCCAACTCAGGGTCTAATTTTCTGAGCACACTGCACTCTCCCATGGTTCCTCATTTCTCAGTCCAGCTGATAACAGTGAAAAAACTGTTAACAACTGTTAAAACAGTAGCTCATCAATAGTTTCAACCTTGAACCTCCTCAGTGCTTCCTCCACTCCCTAACCACCCTGAACCTCTCCAAGCATCCACCCTCCTATTCGGTCTAGTGTCTAAAGGAGGAACATAAAGGTCTGCAAGCAGGGTCTCCACAATGCTATTCCAGGAACAAGGAACCTGGTGTCACTGGTCAGGCTGTGCCATATTCATGTTAAATATTTTGACCATTATCCCCTTATTCTTTCTAGCCTACCGACCCTCAAATTATGTAACAATCACTCATTTCAAATGTGAATTGAATTCTTGTGAATTAGACACATTAACATTGCCAAGTCTTATTTTATAATGTGGTCAGAATTCTACAACTTTCTGTGGTCTTGTTTTCTACGGGTTGTTAACTTGTTCCTCACTTTCAGAATTCACTGTGCTATAACAGAAAGGACTGGTTACACAAAGTATGAAATTTCTTTTCTTTATAAGCAATAATAAAATATTGTCCTTCTTTGCAAACATGAATGGCTGTCTCAATTGAATTCTTACACAATAAAACATACACATCTGGGAAAATACAACTGAAGAAGAGATCAAGAAGGGATGTGGTTATTGATTAAACCCAAATATCAGAATCTGATAAGGTTCAGCTATCTTCTGCAATGGTGAAACACTGTGATTACAAATAAAGATAACGTTCTTTAACGTGAGGCTGTTAAGGGACAGAGTATTCTGACTTAAGGAAGCACACTAGGATAAAAGAGATTTGAGAATAATACAGCTTTTATAGAGAACAGAGAACAGAGATTTTTCCCCCACAGCAATATGACCATAGAGTTACATTGTCGTTGCTTTGCTCAATGGATTTTTGTAAAACCATTGCTTCTCTAAAAGCCAACAAAATATGGAAAGCAATGAAGAAACAAGGTTAAATTTCACTTGCTAATGAAATTTTCCCACTACATAAGCTGATAGGCCTACAAAATTAATTATCAATGCTGGATAATCAAAGTTAATAGAGCGAAAGTTACTTCAGTTTTTTCCAAGACAGTAAGAAAACATATTCAGGCAGAAAAACTTTACAAATAGGAAACACCCTGGGAGGGCACATCAGCATTTCTTTCAAGGATCAATGCATAGGTGGAGACCATTTCAAGCACAGCATGTATCACCCAATGCCTATGAGCTTCTCTGTTTACAATATACAAGAAAAGAACAATCTGTATACTTGTAAAACAGTTTAACTACAGGAGTTTCACTCATCAAATACTAACTTCTCCTACACTGTACAAACTGATGTAAAATGTAAATATTTTGTTTAATTGCTGGGTATCCTCTGAAGAAGAGATCTGACTAAAGACACTGAGGCACACAGCTTTGTTTAAGCTGTATAAAAAGGTAAAGTTAAATAGAGGGGTGAATGGTACCCTGGTGATCATAACCAACATGAGACCAAATTTATATTACTGGGTTCCTCAAGCATAGGTCTAGTCAGCATCTCACATGACAAGAAAGGAGCCCAGAATATGCGAAGAGGATGAGGAGTAGAGGTAGGTGTAGGTGTAGGAGCTGCATCATTATTTGGATAAAAGTGCCACCTTCTGGCCTACCACCTTCATATACCATACAGTCCTGCTTTTATACAGGACCTTTTTTTTTTTTTTTTTTTTTAAACATGTGAATCTGTAGTTCTCAACTAGGGGCAACTGCCTATATTCTCTTTCCCATTTGGCAATGTCTGGAAACATGATTGGTTGTCAGGTGGAGGGGAGGTGACTACTATCTGCATCTGGTGGGCAGAGGCCAAGAATACTGCTAAATATACTCCCCCAAGAAAGAAATATCCAAGGTCAACAGTGTCAAGGTTGCAAACCTTTGCACTGACACCTTTCTAGGTAGCCTCAGTAAATCATCACCAAATTTACTTTTTATATTTTTATTTATTTTTTTTATTTTTTGACAGGCAGAGTGGACAGTGAGAGAGACAGAGAGAAAGGTCTTCCTTTGCCCTTTATTCACCCTCCAATGGCCGCTGCGGCTGGCGCGCCACGCTGATCCGATGGCAGGAGCCAGGTGCTTCTCCTGGTCTCTCATGTGGGTGCAGGGGTGGAAGATTAGCCTAGTGAGCCGCGGTGCCGGCGTCCAAATTTACTTTTAAAAGCTGTTGAAGGCCAGCGCCGCGGCTCACTAGGCTAATCCTCCACCCTGCGGCGCCGGCACACCAGGTTCTAGTCCCGGTCGGGGCTCCGGATTCTGTCCCGGTTGCCCCTCTTCCAGGCCAGCTCTCTGCTGTGGCCCGGGAGTGCAGTGGAGGATGGCCCAAGTGCTTGGGCCCTGCACCCCATGGGAGACCAGGAGAAGCACCTGGCTCCTGGCTTCGGATCAGAGCGATGCACCGGCTGCAGCACGCTGGGCGTGGCGGCCATTGGAGGGTGAACCAACGGCAAAGGAAGACCTTTCTCTCTGTCTCTCTTTCTCACTGTCCACTCTGCCTGTCAAAAAAGAAAAAAAAAAGCTGTTGAAAACAGACTTGTCAGATAAAATACAGGATGCCCAGTTAACTTTGAATTTTAGAAAGACAACAGATAATATTTTACCACAGGCATATCACAACTGTACTATACAAGATTTACTTTTACTACCATAATGATTCCTTATCTAAGATTCAGATACAACTGGATGTCCTGTATTTCCATGAGTTAAATACGGAAACCTTACTTCAAAAGACTCTAAATTTTGAGAAGAGATCCAGGGAAATAATGACCTTTCAGCTCTCTCACAGCCTCCAAAGGAGGAAGAGTGCTTCAGTTCTTTGGTCAGAGGTTAGCACCAACACTAGGCCACATTTTACAATTCATTGTACTTCAAGACTTGTTGGGGGAGTCTAGGTTAAAGATCAGCTTTGCAAAGCATTTCCTTCCTGCCTCAGGTTCACACGTGGCCATCTCCTTGGACCAAGCTGGTCATGTCTCTTGCTCTATGCTTCAATCTCCCTCAGCAACTGAGGTGGACCCTTAGCCAAGGGCTACCTTTACTCAAGGAGTAGGAAGCATAAGTCCTCATGTAAGCCTTGTGGTTTAAATAATACTTTTTTTTTTTATTTTTTATAAATCTTTTTTTTTTTTTTTGACAGGCAGAGTGGACAGTGAGAGAGAGAGAGACAGAGAGAAAGGTCTTCCTTTGCCGTTGGTTCACCCTCCAATGGCCGCCGTGGCCGGCGTGCTGCGGCCGGCGCACCGCGCTGATCCGATGGCAGGAGCCAGGAGCCAGGTGCTTCTCCTGGTCTCCCATGGGGTGCAGGGCCCAAGCACCTGGGCCATCCTCCACTGCACTCCCTGGCCACAGCAGAGAGCTGGCCTGGAAGAGGGGCAACCGGGACAGAATCCGGAGCCCCGACCGGGACTAGAACCCGGTGTGCCGGCGCCGCTAGGCGGAGGATTAGCCTATTGAGCCGCGGCGCCGGCCTAAATAACACTTTTTTTTTTTTAAATTTGAGAGTTGCAGAGAGAGAGAGAGACAGAGAGAAAGGTCTTCCTTCCGTTGGTTGATTCCCCAAATGGCCGCCACGGCCAGCGTTGCACCGATTCGAAGCCAGGAGGCAGGTGCTTCCTCCTGGTCTCCCATGCAGGTGCAGGGGCCCAAGCACTTGGGCCATCCTTCACTGCACTCCTGGGCCACAGCAGAGAGCTGGACTGTAAGAGGAGCAACCAGGACTAGAACCCGGCGCCCATATGGGATGCCTGCGCCGCAGGCGGAGGAGGATTAACTGAGTAAGCTATGGCGCTGGCCCCTAAATCACACTTTTGGGATCATGCCTTGGAAGTATTTTTCCCCTAGCTAGCTATTTTCCTTTCCATATAGTGCTGTCTGTTGGTATCCCATCGTGAAAAGGGGTTAGTGAGAGGGTGGACAGTCATGAATTGTAATATCATCAACTAAAACCCACCATGAACTTTTAGAATACAATTAGGAGTAGATGAAAGGGCTTGAGGTGTTCCCTTCCCTGCATTATTCTTATGATCATTTATTTATGTTTTACAGATGAGATAAAACAATGCATGGAAAATATTAATGGTTTTATATACATCACCACATTCCCTAAACAAGTCTATGAAATAGGTGCTAATACTTCCATTGTTCTTGTCGAAACAGAGGCTATAAGAACTAAGTAACTGGCCTATAGTCGCACAGCAAATAAGTAATTATCACAAAATCTGAGCCCAGGTCTGTTAATTACAAAGCTCATGCTTTTAATCACTAAACCTGAAAGTTAAAATTAATGAAACATTATCAGACTAAGATAAAATTCAAGTATTCAGTTTTAAAGCAATCAGAAAAATATGCCTATATTCAAAGAAAAACACTCACTTATAGTAAATGTTTTAAAGTTGTTATCCTGTGGAATGATTAGAATTTGGAACATCTTCAAAATGCTTTTAAGACATGTATCCAATAAGTAATAAATGCAAAGTCAATGTATCGCAATTTAATCCTTATGTCAGTAGCTTTGCCTGATTCTTCTATGGTTACAAAGACTTACCTTTTAGCATTCCATTTTAGCAAAGCAACTTTGATCTCTGCTTCCAGAAAGCCCATTGTGCACACAGCACCCAGACCAGCCCCTCATTAGCATTCCACCAGAGGGTTCTAGGAGCATGAATGGTTTTTAATCAGTCAACAACACTACGGTCAACCAAATGCATTCCGATACTTAGACCTTTTATCTCAAAAGCTGTGCAGAATCCAAGGTCACAGCAACCTCTTTTATGGTTTATTGTTCCTCAAATGTACTTAGAGTGAATTTACAAAGCCACAACTTATTTTGTGGATACAGAGCTTTCGTTAGGTTCAGCACTCCCCAACATACTCTTTGTTTCCTCTTTCAGCACTTTCTGCCTATGATTTCTCATTTAATAATAGTAAGTTCCCGTAAATTTTTTAAATAAAATAAGAATATTGAACAAAATTCTCTCACTAGCTATGCTACTGATCATTGTCATTGAGGCTTTTCAGAGAGCTGAGTTAACATTTCATATCACTGCTGTGTAGCTTTACAATTCTGGGTGCAGGTGCTGGCAATCAGGAAGGAAAGCAAGAAGCCAGGAAGGTGCCAGGGTCACCACCCTGCCATCATTACAATCATATGATTGCCAAAGAGAGGATGGAAGTAACCCACATGGATCATAAAGTAAGTCTGTGGAATTGTGTCCTGGGAGGTGAGGTGGAAATAGGGTTCTAAATGTTGTAAAAAGGTCTCAACATATCCACATACAATGTTTAACTTCTTGCTCACTTTCTTGATGGCTTTCACTGTAATCAAGAAAATTCATGAATTTGCAATTTCAACCTATGAGATACGTTTTTACAGTAGTGTATTAGAAACTGTTTTGAGGGACTAGTGTTGTGGCATAGCGGGTAAAGCCGCCACCTGCAACACTGGCATCCCATATGAGCAGTGTCCCAGCTGCTCCACTTCTGATCCAGCTCCCTGCTAATGGCCTGGGAAAAACAATGGAAGATGTTCAAGTTCTTTGGCTACTGTCACCTGTGTGGGAGACCTGAAAGAAGCTCCTGGCTCCTGGCTTCGGCCATCTGGGAAGTGTATCAGCGGATGGAACATACATATCTTTTGCTCTCTCTCTCTCTGTCTCTCTCTGTATCTCTCTCTACCCCCCCATAGCTCTGACTTTGAAACAAATAAGTCTTTTTTTAAAAAAAGTAGTTCTTTAAAGAGAAAAAGGAAATGATTTTGAGAATACCCATGCAACACCAAAAATCATACAGCATCCTACCAGTGGTACCCACATATTTGGTGAAGTGAAACAGTAAGTTAAATCAAAGCAACAATGAGAATAA